CTAAAAGTAGTTAATAGACCTCTCTAATCCTCAGTTATCTGGTCAATCAAATGTATACATCAAGGCCTATCTTTATGAGGATTAAATGAGATCAGGCTTAGTAAAATGCCCAGCCACTGTCAGGACACCCACAGGCACTCAAAAATGACCCTCATTATAGAAACTAATTATCCTTTCCAGACAGATTTTATAGATTTTTCCACTTCAAACAATTATAGCAATGACCAATTTTTGATACAACAGTCTTTATAAATTCAGACATAATCTGAGTTTGGTTAACCACAATATCAACCATGGCACAACTCTATGGAGCCTGGGCAAGGAAAACCCTAAATTCTATTTCTAGAATTTTTTCTAATGACTGTGTCCTTAAAAATTCCATTTTTGCCAACAGTAAGAGCCCTGAAATATTCAAGTGGAGATGATTGTTAGGGCTGATATACTAGGACTCTGTCAGGCGATTAACAGGCTCAATGCATAGCCCCCAAACAACAACTATTTCTCTTGCTTATTGACCACTTATAGTTTTTAAAAAGAATATTTTCAGTTTGGAGAACTGAAAATCAAGTTTGCAGTCAAACAGACACGAGTTTCAAGCCTGGCATTATAACTTAATTTCTTCAGTTTATTCTCTTGAAAAAATTAGAATAATACCTCAAAACACTTGAAGAATGATTGAGTAGGTTAAATACATATATAGCTTTGCATAAGACCAACCAATACATCATGGATTCTCCATAAATAAAGTAAACATGTGTTTACTCTCTTGGAAATGATACGAAAGGGACTAACTGGATTTAATAAGAAAGAGAGAGGGGTCATATGAGAAGATAGAGCTGGACCAGAACATAATCTGAATGTCTAATTTGGGGAAATCATTTACCTTTACTCATCCTCAGTTGACACATCTGTAAAGTGGGACAATGCTTCTTCATCCTCCTTACCCCAAAGGGTTGATATAAAAGAGGAGAATACATGAATGTCTGGAAAGGACTTTCAAAACCAAATATATTGATTTTTTGTTCTCAGCAACAGTGGGGAAGATAAGCCTCCAGGCAAGTACAATGAAAAGAAGCTAAATAATTTTTTTTTAATATATTTGAAGACATCAGAGAGTTACCAAGGGAAGTGAAGGATTTAGGAGCCAAAATCCAGGAGAGAAGAAAAACTCAGCAAAGCAAACCTAACATCTGATGCCTCAGCTTTCCCTTTAAAGGCATTTACTGCTTCAACATCAGTAGCTAACAGGCTGAGAAAATGAACAAAGCTTCTGGCCATATCACAAGATGGAAAGAACAGAAGTTGGCATTTAGGGTCTGTCAAGAAAGGGGGCCTGGAAGAACTCCTGGCTTAAAATGGAACCCTTAAAGATCAAAACCCTTTGAGTAAAAGTTGATAAGAACTAGATCTGCCTTCAGGAAGCCCCACTTTGAATTAAACCAATGCCTGATTGGATTAAAGTGATCTGCTCCTTACCTTAACTGCCTGCAAAAGAAAATCTGGTTTTTTGGAAGGTTACAACATTTAAAGCCTCATATTCCAAACATTTGGCATTTGAGCAAGCATAATCAGGCAAGCAAAAACCCAAGGAGAAAACAGAAAAACCAAGACAATTTCAAAATCTATAACAGGGGCGCCTGGGTGGCTCAGTCGGTTAAGCGTCCGACTTCGGCTCAGGTCATGATCTCACGGTTCATGGGTTCAAGCCCCGTGTGGGGCTCTGTGCTGACAGCTAGCTCAGAGCCTGGAGCCTGTTTCAGATTCTGTGTCTCCCTCTCTCTCTGACCCTCCCCCCACCCTCCGCTCACGCTGTCTCTCTCTCTCTCTCTCAGAAATAAATAAAAAACATTAAAAAAATTTTAAATAAAAAAATAAAAATCTATAACATATTCTGATACTGGAATGAGACAAAAATCAGGAAAAAAAATACCTCTTCAAAAATGTAATTAGAAGACTGTAAACATAGTGCTAACTTGGCTGCTTTAAAATACAATCATTTTCTGGAAAAAAAATTGGTAATTTACTCTTAAAGCAAATAATCTCACACTATGTCCATTTCAAATAATGCAATGAATTTCTAAGACTATGATAAGATTAAGAAAGATGAAACAGAAAACCTCTGGAGCTTTCTTTTTCCCATGATGTCATCATTTTGTAAAGGGCTTTTGGGGGGGATTTTCTTAGACACACAAAAAAAATCACTGACTTTATTCAAAAAAATTTAATCAATTGTCCTGTGCACTTTACTATTTATATTCTACATGCAACAGCAGATTCCACTTGGGTTTTTACTATGTTTAGTTTTTTAAAAGCACCACAGAAAAATGTTTTGCTAATAAAATACAAACATTTTGGCTATAATGGGCTAACACAATCATCTCTTCATCAATTGCCCCATTAGTTAATTCATTAGAAACTATTAATGTCATCGTTAGACCAGGAATGGATTTTGATCATCACAATTAAATGAATTTGGTTGTGACCTAAGTACAGGAAAAAGAGACCATATTATGATTTTTAATGCTCAAGGAAGCAAGCAATACATGGATAATAATGCAGGATGTATTTTCAATTTGATACAATTTTAAAGATTGTAGAATTAAGTAAGCTAATGGAGAAACCAAGTTCATCACAGATATGGCAACAGATAGGTAGACAACAACATTCAGGGGGGAAGAATTCTGGAATCTAAGACTGATAAAGAGTGTTTAAGTGATTGAGTGCTTTATTGGCTGTCTGCCATTCTTTAGATGTCTTCTGTTAAATATCAATATTTCATCCATTTACCTCTATAAATGAAACTTCTCAACAGTATTCAGTTTTTCATTTTTATCTAGAGCTGAATTAACTCCATCCCATCAAATCAACTAGACTACAAGATGAGAGAACAGAATCTTTTCATGAAAGGTTGGAGAAGGACAGAAAGACTTGATTCCAAAATAATTCGAACAAACAGAGGTAAATAGGTAAGTAGTAAGTGCTATTGGTAGATTAGGGCTTTAGTGTGACATTCCTGTCCTGCAGTTATTTACAATTAAAGAACATGGCATTTCTCTCTGATAGACTATAATTAGCAGATAATGTGTTAGTTCTCCTTAGAGAGACCTTCTGGCTCCAAAGGCAGCAGGATTGAACTATAAATTGACTCTATTAATGTGCCTAAAGAAGAAGTATGTCCATGAAAGAGTTAATTATAGAGGTGTTGAAAAAGAAGCCATTTCTGGCAAATTCTGGTAACATTGAAGTTAATTAGTCTAGAAGAGTCTTCACTAAACACAAGGGAACATGATGGTCTTTATTCTTATAGTGGATCAGAGTGTCTCAGTTTCCTTAGCAACACATAATCACTTCAAATTTGTTCTGAGTTTCAGAGAGGTTAAGCAAATCACTCTTAGTTAGCTATTTGTCCTTTAAGTCAGGATCTAGACATGAATCCAAATGACTATCAGCCAACTGCCACAAGAAGTTTATGTCTTTAGGCTACTGACTTTGGATACAGTTAAAATGTTGCAATATTTAAAAATGTTTATTTACTTTTGAGAGAGAGAGAGAGCACGTGTCAGGGAGGGGCAAAGAGAAGGGGACAGAGGATTCGAAGCAGGCTGTGTGCTGACAGCAGAGAGCCCTGACGTAGGGGCTCTAATTCACGAATCATGACATCATGACCTGAGCCGAAGTTGGATGCTCAACTGACTGATCCACCCAAGTGCCCCAGAATGTTATAATTTTTAAAGTCTGATAAATCACATAACTTGTTATAAGAAAATTTCAATGTATATATAAACAAAATTATATACCTATTAAAGATACACAGGTAGCTCCAATCAAACTGGACCATTTTACTCCTTCCTATCTGAAGACCCAAATCTGCACTGGGTAACATTAAAAACAGACAGAACCTTTGAAAGCCAAATGAATATCTTTGGAAGCTTCAAGAAGGCATCAAATTAAACTGGGTAGAGTCTGGGTGGGGAGAATGGGACAGAGTGCTCCTCTCCTGACACCTTCTAACCCTATCCCTCTCAGATCTCTTTCTCCTCAGAGTTCATTCATTATAGCGGTTGCTCATTCACTCAGCAAACACTGAGGATTTACTGTGTTCCAGACACAGTAGTTCCCTTAATCTTTCTCCTGTCTTCTCGTTGCAGCCCACGTCTCTCTTAAAGCATTCTTAACCAACAGAAACTTGGTATCAATACCCAGCTTCTAACTCTTCCTCATATAGAACTACTTAATCACTTGGTCTTCCCATTCTATTCTTTTTTGGTTACCTGGAAGAGCACAACATAGGGCTCCTAAGAGCCCATCTAGGCAAAGAGGAATTCTCCTGGAAAAATTGGGAAGGTGGGAAAGCTATGGAAACTTAAAAGTTATGCCTCTTGCACATATTGTTTCCCTAATTATGCTCCACCAGATTTTCAGGCACACTCCCTGGCATCCTCAAACCTCTGCCTCAAGTGATGAACAGATGACCAGACAACTAAAATTGGCTATAACTGAACATAACAACAGGTTTACTCTGCATCTGGGAACTCTATGCAGTCTAATAGAGGAAGTAGGCTTAAAATTAATCATTTGAAGTATATTGATTTTTATGAGCTTTTTGGGTCATAAGAGAGAATACTATTACATGTTTAACTTTCTATAGTTTTCATCAAATATTTTTTCATGAAATATTCTCATAAATGTTACTATTTAGTTTAAATTTAGTATGACTTTAGAAATTCTGTTTTTATTGGGAAAGTAAATGTTTACAAGAGTAAATGGATATTAAGTGTTTCATTTTTCACTTACTAAGCATCCCAAATTTTCACCTACCTACATCATATTAAATAATACTCTCCTTCAATTCTGTGCTCCTCTGAAGATATATTCTCATAGATTTTATCAAGTGGTATGATGTTTCATTATGAAAATTATCAGCAAAAATTTCCCTTTGATACTTTTTTGGTGCCTACAAGCAAAACGTTTCTGGAGTTAGATTTCTAGGACCATCTTACCTGTCAAACAGCTCTCCTCCTGTGACAAGTTCCAGGACCAGACTGATTTCTGTAGGGGTTTCAAATATCTCTTTAAGTTTTATCTGGAGAAAGATATTAAAAATAGATCAGAAATTCCTTATCTTCATCCTTCTAGGAAAGAGCTAACATTGTGACTAAAACAATACTCTCTATAATAGCAATATATTGGATCATTACCAATAAAGGTTCTGCATTCTGGTAACAGGCAGCCATCTGTCACTCTCTGGTTGTTTTTATCAGTTACTACTTACCAGTTTCTTTAAAAGTCCTTTTTTCTTTTTGACAATTCAAATACCTGCCTTAAAACCCTCCCGAAATTTTGCCAAAACATCAACATTTCTGAACTGGTCCAGAATTTAAAAATGAAAGCAAACAAACAAAGCTTCTTGAACCATTTGAAAGCATCATGGTCGCTAAAGACACAAATGCCTCTTTCTCCTGGAAAGGAACTTGGAATTAGGGGTCTGAGGCAGAACAGGACCAGGTTAAAGTCTGTCCCTATGGAAAGGTACCTCTCAACACTTAAAATGTTGCTGGTGGATGTAGGGATCCTCAGAAAAGTAGTGGTGGTAGTGATTTGACTGACAATAACAAGACTTTCATCACACTCAGATAACTCACCCAATTTTGGATATTTTCCTCTATATATCAGAGAATCTAGTGAGCAGGACTGATCTACATTTGAGGAAAATTCTACATTGACTTGTTGAAAGAAAAAGACAGATAATGTAAAAGTGGTGATTGTATGTGGCAAATTTTGTTAACTGCTTACCCAAAGCCCTTCTCCCTACTTTATTGCAGATTTTGTGTAGAGAAGCAAGGTGCCTAGCCTCAAATTATGGATCATGATTGATCTAAGCCACTTATAATTCTTCCCCAATTTTCCAGTTTCCATGAGAGAAGAGGGATAATCTTGTGGCCAGCTTTGGCCAATAAAATCTGAAGAGAATTCTGCTGCAGCTGGAAATTTTGGAAAAGCCTGTACTCTTCTCATCATACTCTGCTGGTAAAGCCTTTCCAATTCTTTCTTTCTTCTTTTTATTTTCTTTTTAGAGACTATTTATTTTGAGAGAGAGAAATAGAGAGAGCAGGGGAGAGGCAGAGAGAGACCCAAGCAGACTCCATGCTGTCAGTGCAGAGACCTACACAGGGCTCTATCTCATGAACTGTGAGATCATGACCTGAGCTAAAATCAAGAGTCGGATGCTTAACCAACTGAGCCACCCAGGCACGCCTCCATTTCTTTCTGTCTTGAGTATAGGCCTGTAGACCCGTAAAAACTGGAGCAGCTATTTAGGATGACGAAGGAACAGTGTGAGAGTAGAAGATGTGTGTGTCCTGAATACCATCACTGAGGAGCTGAACCAATGCTAGCAACTGTTTGCCTTCTGATTATAACATAAGAAAATACTTGTTTAGACTACCATATTCAAGTCTTCTGTTATTTATAGCTGACTGCATTGCTAACCCATATATTAAATTTTAAGTACTTTGCTTTGAGCCTAACTAAGCATTGCAGGTCATCCTCCTGGACACCATAACTTTTTCAAGAAATGAGTATAATATTTTTTCTTTAAGCAGTTGGCTCAGTTCAAGTTATGGCCTAGAAAATGATTTTGTTCTTTTCACTTCGTTGGCTCAAAAAAGCTTTCTGCCAGACCTTTCCCTTAGTGCCTTTGGATATAGCCTAGAGCAGAGCTTCTGAGGACATTTTATTTTCCCCATTCAAGTACATCATTTATTTGAATCTTCACATTGTTTCTGAAGTAGATCCGCTCTCAAAGGAGACTGAAATGACTTTGGAAAGCAATGCATTTTCTTCACAGGCTTTTTCAGCAATGGCATATTAATAAGACAGGCACACAAAAGGAAAAAGCCAATGTTTTTTAGAGTGAAACAAAACTCTTCAATTTTTACTTATCCTTTAATGCATGAAAACAAAGATGGCATATATTGCTGATCTGTCCATTTTGAGACTCTTTCGAGGGGTATTATTTTTAAGATTTATTCAGCTGCTGAATTAAAACATGTGATCAGATGAGGACAAGGGCTAGGCCACGGTGGCTGCCTACTGGTGGTGTAACAATTCCCTCTCATTAATAGCATGGACAGCAAAGAAGAAAAACCCTATTCTATAACTTTTAAGATTTTTTGAAACAGAAGATTAAAAACCACTTACAATGTTTGGATGTGAGAGGCGAAGAAGAACTCCTATCTCAGTTCTTACGATTTTTTTGTCCACCTAGAAGGCAAAATGAAAGAGAGAAACTGAAAGAAACTCCCACCTTAGAAATGTCTTAACTGTGGCAGAGAATCAGAAACAGCAAAAACCACCTGGGTGAATCAGGAAATGGCAGACGCTCATTCCTGGGCTTGTTTGTGTCTCTTTCCTTCCTCCCACCTCCACCTTTTTTTTTTTTTTCAGTTGTATGTCTTTCTTCTCTGCTTCAGACACAAAGTAGAACTAGTTACAAATGTGAATCACAACTTATCAGACCTCTTGCATGGCCCTATTTAAAGCATCAGTACTCTCACCACTAAGGCACAAGTTCATCTCAACCTATGTCTCCTCTTCCTCTTCTTTTATTTTATGAACCCTTGTCCCAACCCCACTGGAGTGGTCAATTACTTCATCTGCCTTTCACACACAGGTGGGCATATAACCCAGCCAAACCAATCAAAGTACTCTTCCCTGGCCACCACAATTGGGTCACAAATACCCATCAGACCCAAGTCATCCCAGTCAGGGTCCTCCCCAGAGTTTTTGCTCAAATAATCAAGAAAGAGGTATTCTCTTTTTCTGTGAAATTGTGAGAGCCAAAGAGAATAGTCTGCAACTACCAGGGACCATTTTTGATACTCTATTTGTATGAAATGAAAGATCTTTAAAAAAGAAAGGCATTTCTAGAACAGGCAGATGACATGACAGATCTCTTCCAAAGAGTTCTTGCCACATGCTCTATTTTAGTTTCTGCAGATGGCTTATGAAGAAAATTTGGATAGATATTATTTTTATTATTATTATTTATTATTTTTTTTCCAGCTCTGAGGTATAGTTGATATCCAAAAAAAACCCCAAAAAAAAACCCCCTCAAAAACCACATATAATTAATGTATACAATTTGGTGAGTTTGTACATATCTCTATACTTTTACTATCATCACTGCAAGGTAAAGAACATAACCTCTAAAAGTTTCCTGTGTCCTTTTGTGGTGTGTGTGTGTGTGTGTGTGTGTGTGCGCGCGCACGTGCGCGTGTGTGCACGCTTGTGGTAAGAACACTTAATATGAGATCTACCCTCTTAACAAATATTTAAATGCACAAGACCTTATTGTTAACTGTAGGCATTATGTTGTGCAACAGATCTCTTGAACGTATGTACTCATCGTGGATAACTACAGTTTTGTACTCATTGAACAACTCCCCATCTCCACCCCTCCACTGGTAACAATTCCATTATCTACTTCTATGAGTTGGCCTATTTTAGATGCCTCATATAAGAGGCAGGCAGTGGATATGGATTATTTTTATCATAATCTTCTCTTCAGGTTAAAACGGGTTTCCTCACTATTACAAAATAAATATAATTTTCATTATTGCATAATGCTTTAAAAAGTTTTAAGAACTTGAGTGTTTCTTATTTAAGACTGTTAGTGTTCAAGATTAATGTAACACTGTGTGTCAACTGTACTTCAATAATAAAATTTTTTTTAAAAAGAGTAAAAAATGACTGATGGTATTCAATTTATTCTTCTCACTACACATTTAGAGTTTATGTAACATAAAGTTTCCTTGTTTTCACAGATTTCTAATCAATATAAAGTAAGTCAGTGGGATCCTTTAATTTTTTTCAAATGATATATTTATATTGAATATATGCTTTCTAATAAAATATGTATTTTCAGCAAATTTATTTTTTACCATGTTATGTCCAATATGTTACATATTGGGATGATTTTTAAATTTTTTTAATTATGTTTTAAGACTTTGACAATTAATTCACCTGAACCTTAGAAATGCTCAGAACACACCAGATTGTTTGGGCTGGCAATCTTCTGATATAGTTATTTGTTTTGAATTCAGAATTAATTTCTCTTTAAAAATAATTTTAAATGATAATTATTTTTCCAGTGTACTCCAGATGGGTGGTTCTCAAAGGTGATGAGAGGACCCTTCAGGGTCCTTGAGATTGTTTTAGGGCGTATGTGAAACTCTCCCTTTTCCAGTTGCATATCTGAGTAAGGCTAGATTTTTATCTATACTTGAAACAAAACCACAAATTGAATGCAGAAGCAAATGAGAATCAGTCTTCTAATAAGCAAGATAGTAAAGAGATTTTCAAAATAATGCTACTCTTCTTGTAAGTATTTTTTTTAATTTTGGAAAATACAGTTATTTTCATAAAAATACTATTTATGATAAAATGTAATAGGTTTATTATTGTTATGTTTTTAATTAATACTTTAAAAATTCTGTTCTAATCTCTAATATAGTAAATATCTACAGCTATTTGGAATCTCAATAATTTGAAGAGTACAAAGGGTTCTTAATGCCCAAAAGCTTGAGAACTACTATTCCAGAAAATTTAACATCATACATTTGAAAATAGAAAGTTGACAGAAAACAATAAAAATTTAGTAATAATTTAAATGAAAGAAAAATGTGAACACAGTCTTTCTCTTCCCTTGAATGCTGGAGCCTAGATCAGATGAGGTGCAGGTCATGACTTTAGTGGACACTGAGAAGGGAGCAGCAGATAAGAATCATAGAAAAGGGAACTTAGAGAAAAGTGGAGCATTGAAAACCAATCCAGAGAGTAAACTGAGTGGCAAAACCTTGACTACAAGTCAAAGTGATGCCAACCAAAGAAAGCAATAGGAGGTAGAGCTGACAGGTAGAAGGTGACTAAAGAGAAATGGACAGATAAATGACTGAGAAGACAGAACAAGACAAGACTGAGGTTAGAAAGTCTTTCCCAGAAAGATCTGCTGACGGTCATTTGCTATCTTTTTGAAATGAAGTCTCAGAGTTCAGTACTGCTTTGGAGAGTGGTTTCTGCACAGGTGTCACATCTTGAAGATCACACAGGTGTGCATCTTGACTGCCATTATCTCTCACATCTTTCCAATATCTCTCTTGCTCCAGAAGTCAATATTTCCTTCCTGCTTCTGACATCCCCCTCCAAACTCCTGGAAAGATCAGGAGGGGGACTGAGCCCTGGCCCTGCCACTCTGAATGAGTGATGTTTTTCTAGAAAATAATGGTCAAGCACACCATAAACGTCAATGGGTAGCTATCTGAACAATCATTACTGCAACCTGAAATTAGCTTCCAAGTGTTATTATAATTAGCATCTTCAGAAGCATCAACAGATGGCTTTAACAAAGCAACATTACAGTATTGAATCCCACAAAGTTACCTTCAGTAATTACAAAATACCTTGAAGAAAGATAGTTTTTTGTCACTAACAATTCACAATTATAAAATATATAATGTATATTACTAAAATTCTAAGTTAGGAGATGCATTTTAGCCCAGGTTCCTCAGCAAACAAATATGAGGCAAGGATCAACACACTGGTGTTTTATTTGGAAGGTGCAGTTAGAGTGGGAGAAAATGGAAGTATGGCAAGGTAAGAGGGACACAGTGCAGTCAGTCAGCACACTGACTACTGTGTCACAATGAGCTATAAAGAAATAGCAGGTCATATGGGCTGTTGCAGCCAACTGGCACACAGGAGCTTTACCTAACCATCATGACTTGAAGAAGTTCATAAAAGAAGGGAGCCCAGGCAACTTCCCAGGAATCTCCTTATCCTGTTTCCCACTGGTGAAATCTCACCCTATGATGTTAACTTTTCCATACTTTTAGGTTGCATATCCAGTCTTCTTGGCAGTTGTGATGCTATACTCCTCCTCCTGAGGTGTCATGTCTCATTCAAATCCAGAAGTGGCTGGAAGGGCCAGAAGTTTCAGGTGTGTGTATGGCTGGCCTAACTGAATGAAGTGGCTAGTGAGCAACCCAGTTGTCTCTGGCCTGGAAGACTGGTAGACAGAAGGAATCTGAATAAGCCCATAGGAATTCCTCCAGTCACAATGCATTCTTGAGTTTTTATCTGTCACAAGGTAAACCAGATTGACAACATGAGATTATAGTCCTGCCTCTCTAATGTACTAAATTTTACTGTTAATCATTAAGAGCTCTGTCTTCCACTTACATTGTTTCATTGTTCTAGTTGCCAATTTGAATGGCTTGGGCACATGGGGTTTTTCTTAAAACCTATTTTAGCTCCTCTATTTAAATTGCCCTAACTATTAAAAAAAAATATTTCCTTTTATCCTCATAAAGTCACCTTTGAAACATCCAATTTTAATGGCTTTTAAAATACTTTCAATATAAAACATATTTTTTAAGATTAGCCATAAGAAAAATATTAATAAAACAATTTAATGAAAGTGGTTATACAGATGCGTACAGTTTTAAAACTTCATGGAACTCAAGATGCCTTAATATTGAAAGAAATCCCAATTTTGCTCTCTTCTCTGGGGGAGAAAAAGAAATGACGAAACGTATAATTCTAGAGTAATATCAAAGAAAAGGGTCCTACTGTCAGATTAGAGTTGATTAAACATAGACCCTTCATTGTCATATATAGCAAATACACTCCTGTGCTAGGGCTGAGAAAGTTGTGGAAAAGAAGGGAGAAAGAATTGAAAAATAAGTGAAGAAATAATGAGGGCTTAGAGAAAGAAAAGGAAACCAGTTTCTGCACTGTAGCAATGATGGATGGAGACAAGTTGGTAAAGGAATTGGGAAGGAGAGGATTTCTAACACCAGATCTATGGTGTCCTTGACCTGCTTGGCCATCTCAGATTTGGCCTAGATCTAGGCTCTGGAATTTTAAATACTCTTGGTGAGCTGAGATGGCCTCTATAAGTAGAGACCATTGCTCTACTTCTGGGACTCAGTCAAGTTCAGCGCATTTCCACATCAAATGTTCAGCCTCATCTCATGTTCTTTGCAGGGATTGAGACCCTAATTTTGTTTGTCTCTCTATTCTTTCTTTGGCTTTTTGGGCTCATTTGTGGTTTGCGCAGTGACCAAAGAAGAGGATGTGAAGTACAGAACTGTGCTCTTCAAATACTTTGTGGAAAAAGGCAAAATACAAATTATTAGTGGATAAATAAGCAGCCAAGTGTCTTTACATTTTCACAGCAATTCTCTTCTACATAGCTTCTGCTT